TTATAAAAAATTACACTTCCGAATGAACTTCAGACGTCTTTTGAACATTCCGCGATGACCAAAAAACTTATTTTGGCTCCAGTAAGGTTAGGTAAAGACTTTTGAGGTAAGCTGAACAAACATTGCACGATTTTTGTACGCCCACTGTAGGTTTTTAGCGTAGGTTTTTAATTAGTTATAATTTTTTTTTTTTTTAAAAAAAAAAAGCGTCGTTTTTAAAACATGATATTTTCAGTTTGAGATTATAGGATCACGTGAAACTTTGTTAAACATGAATTTTCTAATAAATTTTCATTTAATTTAGGATGGCGTTTAAGACAAAAAAATTACGCATTTTTGTAAAAATGGGAAAATAAATTAGGACATTTTTGAAAAATAACAAAAAAATGTTGTTGCAAATATTTATCATGTTAAACATTTAAAAAACTGATTGTTACTTTAACCTTAATGTTTATAAACTCCAAATTTAAAATGACTGAAGTTAAAATATTTTAAAATATCTAAAGTACTCAAAAATTTGAGATAAGTTCTAAATAGATTTTAAACAATAAACACCTTCTAGTTTCTAGCAAATATTTGTATTTTTATTGAGAATTAAAAAATTATGCAATGTAATATCTTTAGGGCACAAACTAGAGAGAGAGAGATTAAGATTTTGTGCCATTTTTGTGATCTCATGATCCTTAAGGTGGTAGATCCCCTTTTTTTTGACATTTTCAAAATTGCATTATTTAATTTATGTTTTTTCTGAAACTCCACTATTGAAAATACTCTATATTCTTCAAAAAAGTAGTCATTTTACTTTTCAGTAAAACTTCATTGCAACTGACTGACAATCCCATTATTTCTTCAATTTTTTACATTTGTAGTGTCCGCTACAATTATTGTTAAGTTCTTCCATAATTTTTACTAATCGAGAATAGCTGATATACCTTTAAGAACAGTATTTCCTTCTTCGTTGGGTATATAGTGCTTTTAACTTATTTAACTTAATGTAGTGTTTTTTTTTATTTCTTCTTCAAGTCTAAGAACTTTTTCCATAGTTGATCTGAATATACTAGTCTGTGAAGGTTTCTAAATGTTGATACCATTTTGAGGTTACTGTCGATAAATAGTTGTTGTTTTTTGGTTGTTAACTTTTAATTTGCTAATTGGCATGCAGTTTTGGTTTTGCTGTAGTTCTTGCTGGTACTTGTGAACTGTTCTTCTAAACTTTTAGACTCTTTATATCCTGCCTCAGACTCGGATTCAGAAGTTGACGTTTTTTCTGTTACCAATAATTTTGTTGAAGTAGTCATTCTACTTATTTTGGATGGATGGCCAGTTGTTGAACTAGCAACCTTCCCAGTTTTATACCCGAGCTACCTTTTGCTTTCAATCTAAAAAAAATAATTCAATATTTTTTCCTCACTGCAGAGCCATTTGAAATATTCCTTTGTGGTGTCAAAAACTTTTTTCAACACGCTTATCGTTCGTTTTCAGATCTAGTTGTGCCTCAACTTGTTTCTTACCGAAGCGGCTTTGTTCCTCAGGGTTTGTGTTTTGGAGTTATAAAGGGCTGTAACTACAACTAAAAGTAGCTTCCTCGATTGTAGTGACCTTCACGGCGTTGGAGAGGTAAATAGAAATAAAATTGATAAATTTGAAATGTTTAATTTTTTTTGCCATAAACTTGCTAATTTTTTCTCAACTTGTTTTATGCTTTCTTGTTTTCTTTTAATGAATTCTTCCAGGAGCTGATTGTGACCAACAATTTGAATTTTGAATGGAATTCTGCTGTTATCTTCTAGCGATTGTACTTGTAGTGGGACAGTCCTTCTTTTTCTATGTGAATCATAAAGTCGTTCGAGATTCTTTATCCATAATGTATTGTTCCTTTCAGTAACGGAGCACTTTTCTTATAGAAAACTATGGTCGAAAATAATACTTTAATGTATTGTATATACGTGCAACTGTACTTTCTATATTATTTCACTGCATCTGGGGAACACAAATTTATAAAAAATTATAGGGTTGCCTAACAAGACAGTTTATATAGTCTGAACCTAAATAATTTCTAGAAACTTTTAGAAAATTTCTAAGAATTTTAAAAAAATCCAGAGCAGTCCAGAAAACTTTAAAAAGTTCCATAAGGTTCAGGAAAATTTTAGGCTTCCGAAAGTCATAATGCTACTGCTTGCAAATACTACCAGAAACCATTTTTAAAATTTTGTAATTTTGGGACATTTTTTGAATATTGTTCAGAATAAAATCTATTTTCATTACATACCCAGTGGGCATTTCGACGTCGAACGAACGTCGAGCGACGTCGGATCTCGACGTCGGATCGACGTTGGGTTTACGTTGGAAATGGAAATGTTATTTGACGTCGGATAAACTGACATCGCGCGACGTCGGCATTCCGATGTAAATCCAACGTGTTTTTTGAAAACTAAAAAACATTGCCTTTAGCAGTAGTCGAACCTCGGTCTATAAGATACTAAATCCTACGCGCTTACCACTACACCACAGCAACATATTGTTCCATGTGTTTATTTAGTAATTTATACTTGTAGCTATTTGGGAATTATTACTTTGATAAGAAATAATTTTGTTTAAATATTATATAAATATTAAAACGAATAGTTATATATTATAAAAAATGTATACTCGAAATGGTTAATAGTTAAAAAACTATGCTAGTGCATCATACAAAACCTCATGATGTTTTATCAACCATTATTCAAACTTTTTTCCATTAATAAAAAAACATGCTTAGTTCACATAATTATTGAAGAGCGCAATTGCACACATATTATTGGGTTTGGATTAAATTTTCATCAGCGATGTCTTACGACGTTGTTCCGACGTCGTTTTAAGGACGTTGGATTGACGTCGGAAGACGTCAAAAGATATCGGAGTACGTTAATATTATGACGTTGCCCGACGTCTTTTTATCGACGTTGGATCGATGTCAGTACTGCAACGTTTTTTTGACGTCTTTTATAAGATGTCGAAACAACGTCAAAATACATCGAAACGACGTCAGGGGATGTTGAGATAAAGACATCGCCCGACGTTTTACTGACATCGGAACAACGTCGGAATAGGTCTTTTGACATCGCTGATGAAAATCGTACGTAAATCCGACGTCGGATTGACGTCGGGTGCCCACTGGGTAACAACGCATTATTTTTATTTATTGGATAATAATTACTTATATTTATCAATTGTTTAACAAAAAGTTGAAAAGTCATTACCTTTTTTTATTTGAGTTGGCCAGTTTTCACTTTAAGTTGGCATTTTTTCATTTTAATTATGCAAACTTTACTTTATAAATTAAAGTGAAAATTATGCAAACTTCACAATACAAATTAAAGTGAAAATTATGCAAACTTCACTTTACAAATTAAAGTGAATATTATGCAAACTTCAATTTACAAATTAAAGAGAAAATTTGACAAACTTCACTTTACAAATTAAAGTGAAAATTATGCAAACTTCAACTTACAAATTAAAGAGAAACTTATTTAAATTTCACTTTAAAAATTAAAGTGAAAATTATGCAAACTTCACTTTACAAGTTAAAGTGAAAATTGCCAAATTAAAATTAAATAATCCCAACTTAAAGTAAAAATTATAACATAAACGCAAAAAGGTGTAGTTACATAAAACTATTCAGAAAAAAATACTGTTACAAACGCGTGTACCTGATTTTTAGGTTTGTATTTCACCTGATAATTGCAATAGCATGAAACGAAAAGTTGTGAAAATAATGTAGTTTCATTTTCTACTATACTATGGCTTTAACTGAGTTCATTGTCACGCCATCCCCAAACTCTAACTCAGTCACCCCGTCCCCAAACATGAGAGCAAAAAGTCAAAGTTTTTACTATTCTCTACTAGATTTATATTCATCAATAAAATTAAAATTTCATAGTATAATATTTCAACGTTCAAAAGATATGACCACATAAAATTTGAACCCTTCCCAATTTAAGAAGGATACATATTTAAATATTTATAATTTTTGAAAGCTGTAAGATTATACTATAAAACTTAAAATTTATCGATAAATAAAGTATTATTTAAATATTATAT